ATAAAATACTTATGGGTATTATACTTTTCTCTTAGTTAATGTTATGTTTAATAGTACGTTAATAGTTAAAAATATATAAAACTAATTACTTTTATAAATAAATCAATATGTAAAAAATAGTAAAATTAATAATTCATTTCATTAAATACGAATATTAAACGTGTTATTAAACGGAGTATTTAGTTATTTACTAACTATGATGTATAAGTATACGGTAGTGGACTTGTGGTTGTTGTAAAAAAAAGGACTCGTGGTTTAGAGTTTGGAAGATTATGACGTATGTTCTTCTAAATAACTGAATACAAAATTGACTTAACTAACATTCTTTACATATCATACGTTATAGTTTATACTTTATACCAACAATTTCATAACACATAACTATAGTTCATGGTTTAAGGTTAGTGTATAGGGTATACGGTAGTGGACTCGTGGTTTAGAGTTTGGAGTCATATGACGTATGTTCTTCTCAATAACCGAATATAAAATTGACTCAACTTACATTCTTCACATAACATACGTTATAGCTTATACTAACAATTTCATAACATATAACTATAGTATAGGGTATAGGGTATAGGGTTAGGGTATAGGGTTAGGGTATAGGGTTAGGGTTTAGGGTTAGGGTTTAGGGTTTATTCATGTTATGCTTTATGTTGGATATTTTGATTTTTATAGTTTATTAATTAATTTGATTTTAACTATTAGTTTAACTTGTGAATGTACATCTTAAATATATCATATTCAAATGACGTTCCGACCAACGAATCGAACAACAAACTAGTTAATCGGTATAAAATTTATCATCTATAATAATAAATATCAAAGAAAGGAAGAACTAGATGTTTATGGAAATTTTTTGAATGCAAAATTCAAAACCCCCCAAATCTTTGCTCAAAAATTCCCTTGCAAACCCATTTTTTTTTAAAATTCCCTCTCATAAACCCCCTTCCCCCAATATTTGATCAAAAATTGAAAATTCCCTCCCACCTCCCCCAATATTTGATCCAAAATTGAAATTCCCCCCATCCCAACCTAGTTTTCCGTGAAAAAAAAAATATTATTAACAATATATATATTTTTAATCAATTGAGAAGGGGGGAAAATTGGTCTTCTACGGAAAAAATATCTGTCTTCTACTAATGGATCGATAAAAGAATCATGTTCTAGTCACCGGGTTTTGTGTGCGGATAAATTTCGTTGACTGCATATAATGGGATAGCGAGGGGAATTCAGTCCCATCTCAGTTTAAAATAAATCCCCCTCGTTAATAATAAAAAAGACGCAATAGACATTCGGGGTTGGCGGGCTTCCAAAATTTTTTCGCTCCAACTTTTTCTTAAACTTTTTCAGTTTCTTTTTTGTTTGCATTTTTTGAGTTTTTTTATTACTTTACCAATAACTAGGACCATTCCCTTTCCCATCTACCTTATCTCCACTCTCCAGTTCTCCACAACCACAACAATGGATCTCGCAGATTTGTAAGTAGTGGCATTTTGTAATGTTAGTATGTTTTGTAATGTTTGTCGGTCTAGTTTGTATTGTTTGTATAGTTTGTATGTTTCGTATAGTTTGTAAATCTGTTTGTATGTTTTGTCGCTCTAGTTTGTATTGTTCGTATGGTTTGTACCATTTGTGAGTTCGGTTTGTATATTTTTTAATTTTCCATAATACTCAAACTACCCCTATCATTAATTAAAAACCCCTTCCCACTTTTTAACCATCAGATTGGCGAGGCCAAATCTAAAGGCTGGGAGGGGATTAGTCAAGTGATTAAGCACCCCCTTAGTCACAGGATCCGGCCCCCCAATTTCATACCTGTTAAACCAAGTTGAACCGGTGACATGCAGCATGCTGCCCGACAGGACTAACATCAGTAGATTACTTATTATTAAAGTTAGGATGACTGTTAATAATAATAAGGGTAATGTCTATTTTTTATCCAGACATTTTTCAGATTCTTTTATATTATCCAAACCTATCAAAATGCTATTAATTAACCAAATCTTTCGTAATGCATCAAAATATTAGCCAGTTTTACATTATCGTTAACAATTTTATAACCCTTTTCTTAGTTAAAATACTAAAATTTTGGAATGTTGATCTTCATGTGACTCTTCTAAGTCAGTAACATGTTGTCAAGTCAATATTACTAAGAGAATTGCTAATGGAAAGTTAACATTTGAAAAAAGTTTGGATAAAAAATAGACATTATCCTAATTATTTTATGAAGACATATGGTCGTTTGCTTCAAAGTTTTGTTGATGGATTTGGTGATGGATTTGCATTTATCATGGATTTTAACAAAAGTCTATTGTTTGCTTGATGGAATTGGAGGGAGTAAATCTGTGGGGCCCATGGAGTTTGGAGGTCCAAATCGTGGACCCCACGGACTTGGAAGTTCCACCATGGAGGTGGGAATTGGGCAATGGATTTAAGGGGTCGTTTGCTTCAAGGATTTGGTACATGAATTTGGTACCAAAAAACCAACTATCAAGGATTTAGGTACAATCCGTTGTTTGCTTGCACCTTTTTTGGAGACCAAATCCGTGGGGCCCACGGATTTTAAGGGTCCAAATCCGTGGACCCCACGGACTTATAAATCCCACATGTTGATGTGGGATTTGGAATATGGCATAAATCCTTGATGAGATTTTACTCATATACCCTCATGCACTTTTTATATTCCAAGCTTGCCCTCAAATTTAACTATTATACATTATAATTAACAATAAATGAATAATATAAACGTTCAATTAATGTGCAAACATGAGTTAGATTTTTTATATCATTTCTTGTGTTCTAGTTTTCTTTGACCTTTTCATGAAACGTGTAATTCTTTGTTCTCCCGATTCTAATATATGTTGTTATACGTTACTTTTGAAAAGGAGGACAAAGAATTGGTAATTGATTATGTTACGTTAAAAGTTAAAACGAAAGTTTCTCGTTTATTATTATTGTCCATGTGGCAACATTATGCTTATTAGTAAGGTAATTTTGAAGTTTTGTCCTTGTTTTGTGTACATATCATAAACATGTCAAACATATAGAAAAGGGCATTAATGTAATTTTTGACTTCAAGTAGTAAATCCCACACCTTTAAATCCATGATAAAAACATTCCAACAAACAAAGGATTGTTACAAATCCATGATGCCTCAAATCCTTGATAAATCCTTGGGTTTTTAAATTACAAAACCCTCATTTTCAAATCCATGAAGCAAACGACCCCTAAATCTATGATATCATTTTACTAGTTTATGCCCACCTAATGACTAATCTATCCTTCCTTCTTCCTTGATGGCGCCCTCCAACTCTCCGTTCTCTGTTTTTCATATGGAGCAATGAATGATAAAGGGACTCTCATGTTTGTTTCTCCTTGGGCTAAATTACACGTTTGGTCACTCAAATTACATAAATATTTCACGTTTGCCACCCGAATTACTTTTCTTTCTACTTCGCCACTAACTTTACGATTCGTTTCACCGTTAGTCACCGGCCGTTAGTCTCCGTTAACTCCGTTAGTTTTGTTATGACGTGGCAAACGAAACTGCTGACTGGACCGTCAACTTAATGACATGTCCATTAAAAAATTAAAAATAAATGCCCTTTTCCCCCTTCCACGTCTCTCTCACTCATGTTCAAACCTTCCCTTCTTTATAGCAGCAGCAGCTCAAGGTTATCTCCCTCGAAATCGTCACTAACTTCAACTCCAAACGGCGCCCTACTCCATTAATATTCTTTTTTCTTTCTGCGACCCGAGCAGGGCAATAAATGGCGGCGGATGAGCTGTTGGCGAGGATCTATGACTCGTGCAAGTGCGACGATTAGCCTGGGCAGGAACGAACCCGTCGAAGGAGCCTTCGACGAAGCGTTGACTAGGCCTTCTGCTCCGAGCTCGTCGTGGGTCCTCAAGTAATTGGGGACGGATGGCAAGGAGTAGGTCTCTAGCGATGGTCTAGCTTGGTGTGCGGATCCGCGCCTTGGCGGGAGGAGGGACCGGCGGCGATGTTGGTGTCGAGGTAGTCTGGCGGTGGCGTGACTTTGAGACAGCGGCAGATAATCGACGACTACATAGCCCGCCGGGAGAGTGGAGGCCACGACGTCTCCCTCGCCTTCCTCCTTATGTGTGGGTTATTTCCCCTTGTACTGTTCCAATTCAATTGAAATTGAATTAATTATATAGAAACCCAATCCAATATAGTCTATTTAATTCAAGGATTGAATTCAGTTAGTAATTTGGGGGTGGATGCAGGGAAGTTGTCAATCTAGTGGGTTTACTTTTGGATGCAGGGACATTTGCTCTCAGCGCTGCCGCTACCTCTAGTTGGACGGCGATGGCGGCCGGAAGTAATTGAGTTTTGGTGGTCCACATAGAAACACGACTTGGTCGGAGGTCGGTGGCTGTTGTGGACTATCAGATATGCACCCAATCTCTCGCAAACCTTGAGCAGCTGCTGCTATAAAGAAGGGAAGGTTTGAACATGAGTGAGAGAGACGTGGAAGGGGAAAATGACATTTATTTTTAATTTTTTAATGTTTTTAATTGACATGTCATTAAGTTGACGGTCCAGTCAGCAGTTCCGTTTGCCACGTCATCAAAAAACTAACGGAGTTAACGGAGACTAACGGGCGGTGACTAACGGTGAAACGAATCGTAAAGTTAGTGGCGAAGTAGAAAGAAAAATAATTCGGGTGGCAAACGTGAAATATTTATGTAATTTGAGTGACCAAACGTGTAATTTAGCCTTTCTCCTTGCTTCTTTCTCTTTTTTTGGCTTGTTTAGTTATTTTGTATGCATTAGATTTGTTTTTAATGAAAATATAATTAAATAAGGGCAACAAGATAATTTGTGTTTCATATCCACAAATTTTATAAAATAAAATCCACAACAAGCAAACAAAAGACTTGTTCAAATTCATAATATCACCAAATCCATTATATATCCATGATTTTTCAAAACCCAAAATTTACCAAAACCCTCGTATTTCAAATCCATTTCAAATCCATGAAACAAACGACAAAAAACACCCTCGTCTCTTCCCCTCCTACCTGTCCCTTTTCAACGAACAGAAGGAAGTGCAGAGAGATCGTCAGTACGAAACCCTAACCCTAGCCTTTCTTCCGTCTTGAACAGACATCGATAACCCCGACCGATGTCGATTCCGCCGTCGTCCTCGGCCTCCTCTGCTTCGCAATTCACCTACTCAGCTCCGTCGACGTCCTCGACTCAAACGAACAGTTCGTATTTCCCTACGCCATTTCATCTCCAGCAGCCATACGTTGTAGCGGCCCCGCCTGCCCCAGCCCCAGCTCCGCCTGCTGTTGGTTCCGTCTACACGGCCCCCGTTGGTCCCGTTTACTCTATCCCCCAATTCCAGCAGGTCGGCGTTGATCGCAATAATGGCTTGATGTTTTCTCTTCTCTTCGGTTAATTTTTGATTGAGCCAACTCAGGGGGATTAATAGCTTCTAATCCCTGGTAGTTCTCGAGCAGGCTCAGCAGCTGTTCCAGAGAGATGCACAAACGATTACGCCGGAAGCACTTGAAGGTGTGAAGGCTGCACTTGCAAGCAGCGAGAGTGAACACAAAGCGGAAACAAAGAAGAGAGCTGTTCCCCGGAAAGCTGCTGGTCAGTCTTGGGAAGATCCCACTCTGGCAGAGTGGCCTGAGAGTAAGATCAAGCCCGCCGGTTTTCCTTTCCCGTGCTTGTTGAAGTTGAATATGTTACTTGTGCGAGCTGCTAAGTCGTCGTTTTTGCAACTTACAGATGATTATAGGCTATTTTGTGGCGATCTGGGTAACGAGGTGAATGATGACGTTATCTCAAAGGCATTTTCCAGGTTCCCTTCCTTCAACATGGCCAAGGTCAGTCTCTTAAGAGCATTCAAGTTCTCTGATGTTAAAAGCAATATTTTTTTTTTGAATCTCGTATGAACTGTGTGCATGTCCTCTTCAGATGTTTGTTTGAAGCTGACAGACTAAGTTGTTCTGTATGTTAAGGTAGGCTGTTACTTACCATCTATCTAGTAGTTAACCATATGATTTTGCCAAGGAATGTCCCCTCCCCCTTCCATATTTTCTTGTGCATTTAGCATTCTTCATCTCCATTGGGTGATCAGACCTTTGGCCTTTATGATTCTTTTGGTATTTTTGTTTCATAAGGTGCTACGAAGTCTAGAAGTTGGTTCTGTAGATTAACAACTCCGAGATAGATTAAGTTTCACTTTGCCTATTTGAATTGAATATGGACAACATCAGGAATCAAAGACTTGGACCTTGAGTGGATAGTTCAGTGTACTAGTGGCTGGTTCTCGTGCAGAATTGATGTGATCTAGTTGGGTAAGATTGGGAACTCGTTAGAATGTTAAGTGGCTGGTTCTCGTTGATCCTTCCTTGATGGATTTATCCATTTTCTTTTTCCACAGTTTTTAATGTAACTATTGAACCTTGCCTAGGGTTGGTTTTGAACCGAGTTGAATCTGTTTACTTCTTACACAGCTGGAACATTTTCCAGTGTTAAATCAACAATTTTCCATCCTTTTTAGGATTGAATTTCAGTTTAGATCTGGTGGTCTCTCAGTTAATTGCTTTGGCACTTTTTTTTAAAGTCATAGCGTGTTTCCCCCCTTTGTATGAGGTTTGTGCCACTTCAGACTATGTATGGGGAATTGTTCTCTCTTCCACCCTCTGTTATGCAGAGAATCACCTTATTCCTATCCTCATGTTTTCCCTTGAGCTCTTGGTTTGTTATGTGAATTGCTCTTTGATCTCAAATGTGCTTGGATCATGACTTTCTCTTAAATGTATGATTCCCTAGGTCGTGAGAGACAAGCGAACTGGGAAGACAAAGGGCTATGGATTTGTGAGCTTTTCTAATCCTACAGACCTTGCTGCAGCTTTAAAGGAGATGAATGGTGAGTTGATAACAGTTGAATGCCAATTGATGGGGCTTTGACAGGGAATTTTACGAGTCCTGCATCTCATACTCTGCTATTCTCCATCTCCATTTACTGTTCTGATTAGTCCAGGCTTGACATCAACTGCAGGTAAATATGTTGGCAATCGTCCCATCAAACTACGCAAAAGCAACTGGAAGGAGAGGACAGACTACGATGCATTAGGGAGACCCAAGGTAAAGACTTACTTGATTTCTTAAAGACCAGAGATATACTATCTATTGGCATGCTGATACGTGTCATGCACATTTACCTGCAGAGCCACCATCAGAAGAAGCCCAAGGCTCCAAAGAAGAGTGTACTGCACAAGTAAAAACATTCTGCGTACCCAGCTGTTTAGTGTGTTGATTTCGATTCTGCTGGTTATGTGGCCTCCTATTGTACAATTTGTGAAGTAACTTTTGCTAATTGCAACAATGCAAGTAAATAACGGGTTCCTAAGCTGCTCGTTCTCTATTAGCATTTGTTGAAAGTTGGCATTTGTGTTGAAAGTTGATAATGACGAGAAATTATATTTTTCTGACAATGAATTTTGGTAGTAGATGGATGTCACCCTTACTAAATGTAATGTATCGCTGTACATCAGCCAAACCAAAATAAAAAGCCCGACAATGTAACAGGGGCAATCAATTGTATTCTTTTTTTTGAGCAAAACTTTAAAGAAGCAGAAGCAGATCCTTGTACTTCTCTGTATTTGCTTCACTAATTAAACATTTAAACTGCTCGAAATGCTTATTGAGATATCGAGAGAGAGAGAGAGAGAAAAGACTAGTCAACCGTAAAGGATTACATTTTCACATTTAGACTCTTAAGTAGGCAATTTGTCCATCAACCCAATCAACAACCACATCCCGTCCATAGTTTCCCTCTTCTCCCACTGAGCTTGGACTTCACCTGGGTTTGGTCGTCATTAAGACATTCACCGAGAATGTGTACAACTCGACATCAAGACCATCTACGGAGGCCTTATATCGCTCGGTAAGGTCACTATTTGGCAATTGATCATGTTTCTATCCGATGCACAGCGATAGGCGCCACCATCCCTCAATCCGAAGAGCATATCTCAAATATTCACCTCCTGCTCAACAAGTACCAGTAACCCAACCATCTCTACAAAGCAACATGTCAGTTGGAGCAGGGTCTTCTGCAGTCCCCTATTCGACTCATTGGAGATTGTAACAAGTTAGAACGTTACTCTTATATCTCAGAATGCTCAGCTCCTCTCCTCCTTTAGAGGACTTCAACTTCCGACTCAAATGAGACATGGATGCCAGGAGGAATCTTGTAGCCTCGAACCGTCGTATGTTACTTCACTTGGGTATCCAACTACAAGACTGTGCATCCACCCTTTTGTGCTATCACCTCCTTCAGATGGTGATGATCTCGACTAGGAAGGCATAGAGGTCGATAAAGAGGAGCAAAATGATAGCAATGATGATGATAATGAGTGAAAGGCTATATGGCAGGCAAACTAACAGGAACATTTCCTCCATCTATCTCATATCGCATGTTACTTTTCAATTTTGTTTTAGTAGTAAATAATGCACTAGTACTTTAAAATTCTCATAGCTACAGTATTATTATATGTTTTTATTTTGATAAACCCCATCTCTCTTTTGTGTATGCGTGAATGTTTTTTGTCTAGATACAAGAAGACCTACACTTGTTGTATGCGTAGATGTACAAGCTAATGTTGGTAGCTGTTTTGGTCTGCAGCTAGAAGAGATAGGGTTCATTTGAGCAAATCTTGTTGTCTTTAAGCTTCTCTGCTGCTGTACTTTTTGTATTTGCAGTTGTTTTCTTTGCGGTTCTTAATAAAATTTCATCATTATAAAAAAAAATCTACACTTGTGTTCCTACCATCCCATCCTATGACAACCTCGTGAACTCTACCATGAACTCACACATTGAGTACAATGTGTCTTTTAAGTGTAGAGGGATAAGACTTGCATTGTTTCAAACGCTCATGATTGATGTCGCCGTTCGATTTATTGCTTTTATATGATGATGAATGTTGACGTGATAGCAACTTGTTTGGAACCTAAGATATTGCTCCAATTGTTTCCAAAATTTGAGGGTTCCAGCTTCCAAGTAAGCCTCAATTCTTATTATGTGATTTCATGCTTTGAATCGTCAAACCTAACTTCTCCTTCTCGATCAATGTTAAGGAGCGAAATTCGTGAGATGTTTTAGAATGAAGTGTTTTTGCTTGATTTCTTGACTTATCTTGGTTTGAATGTTTCCCTGCTGAATGTGTGGTAAGTTTAATTGAGCATGAAGCTTGATTCTTAGTGGTAGTTCGGTTGGTCGATGCTTGGTTATGTGCCTTTCCACGACCAAATTTTGAATAAAGTGGTGTACCTTTTCAAAGGTTTACGTGTATGGCACCAATCAACCGTTTTCAAAGAATTTTTTTTCCAGTAGTAGCTCATAAAATATGACTACTCCAGACCGCATGCTAATTAGAGGGTGATGCAGATGGGGACCCCACTCAAATTCGGTTCAAAGGCATTCAAAGGTTGGTCGTTTTATTCTAGTGGCCCAATCACACGAGCCGATGTATAGGTACGAGGAAAGAAAAGCAAAAATGTATAAGAACTCCTACTTGTCTGGTCAGAAACACAAAAAGTTATCAATGTTTCTACAAACCCAAAGAAAAAATCTCAATAAGAGAACAAAAGGTTTTGTGGAAGGTGTATAATAGATCCGTAAAAGCATTCATCCTTCTTATTTACAACCGAGAGTCTTGAGTTACGTCTACCTCCTTTCATTGGAGAGCATTTGAAGTAGGATTTTCCGAGTAAGTCCACCATGAAGATGGAAGATTGAGATGTCTAGTCATTTGGGACCCGACTCCAAAAAAATACATCGATCGGAGAGGTGCAGGGATTTCGAGTTGCACGTTTTAATCACATGTTTTCTTGGGTACACAAAAATGCCTAAGTGTGGCCCAAATTGGTGTTATTTACCTCCCTCTAAATCTTAGTATTTTCATGTCTATTTGTTATCCAAAAATAGCCTACAAACGCTTCCTAGCATATGCATGGTTGTTATTAGGTGAAGATGTGTGTGTTTAACTCATATTGAGAAGATCAAGGCTCAAGTGGGAAATGGGGCAAACAGAGATCATGCGCAAGATGAAGCATATCACGGTTGCGAACAACCAACCATGAACTCAAGATCGCGTGACGCACAGAAGATCACGACCGACATCTTTCATCTCTCGATCGTGAACTTCAGAAGGCTAGCACGAAACGAAAAAAATGTATCGCGGTCTCAGTCGCGGGCTTAAGCCGCGAGACCGTGAGAAAGATAATGGTTGCGACTTCTAGATCACGACCATAATCTCCAACCTGCAAACCCTCTTCATGAACATGGAAAAGTGACAACGCATCGAGATTGCAAGATAGACTTCAAGTTCACCGCCGTGAACTTCCCCAAAAACGGCCATGAATTCCGAATCTATGATCTCTATGAATAGGAGGAGACCCCCAAGGGTTTGAGAGGGCTTATTTTCTAGAAATACTTTAGAGAGAGATTAGAGAGAGCAATATAGTCAAAATTGCGTTTTAAAATTTAAAAGCTTACGGTTTAACGCTTCTAGGTTACCAAAACGCTTTCGTTTCCATGTAAAATCTTTAGTGTATAAAATCAGACTAAATTGCGCTTTAAAGCTTAAAAGCTTACGCTTTTACGCTTCTAGTTCTCCAAAACGCTTTACGCTTCTACACTTCTAGTTCATTAAATAGTTATTATTTTCATGAAATTAATTATAAAAATTACAATTTAAAGGTAAATCGTCAACAATATGATACATTTGAAATTAAAAGATACATACAAGGTACTTTGATGTATTCTCAGTTTCAATAGAGTAATCTAATTCATCAGCTAGGCCTTTCCCAAATTGATTATCATAGAGGAGAAGGTGGCTTATTGTAAGATCTATGTTTATGAAATTATTTTTAAGATTCTATGAGTAGCTCTACTTTAGACACGAATTGCATGTAGTTATCAATTAATCTAAATTCTGTGCACTCATATTTTACATAGTATATATGTATTTAACATATTTTTAGTTATTTTAAAGTATGCTTAAAAAACTTACGCTTTGATTCGCTTTACGATTTTACCCCTTTTCCGATTTTAGATAGAATCGCGCTTTTGAGAGAGAGAAATCTGGATTTTCTTATAAAGAAGAAGAGAATAAGGTAGAAGAGAATAGGGGAACCACCCTTGAAGATTGAAGACTAGCCTCCAGCTAAAAATCAAGAAGATGATGGTTCTCTTCCCCCTTCTTATTTTACGCTCTTCATCTCACATGGGGTAGTCCCATTGTATTTTGGGTAGGTAACCCCTAACTCCATAGAAGAATGTTTAAGGTTAAACACTAGTGTAATGAGTCATCCTCCTCTACTTATGATTACTTGATGTTTAATTATGCTAATATCTTGCTTTAGTAGAGGTGGTAAATATTTTTTCTTCTTAACCTAGGTTGAGGTGACCATCACCTTCGGTTGAGATTAGAACCCACTTCAAGTAAACCAAGATTTTGATTACATGCTACTTGAATTGAAGCCTTGTTTACCTTTGGGTTTTACCCTCATAGGAATTCATACTTACCGCCCTAGCGATTTGTTAGTTACATAATCATTGAATTAAGAATTACACTAGGAGTGCAACTAGGAGACATGATCATTTCCCTATAGGTGAAAATAGAGGATTTCAGCATCATGAATGAGGGGACTGTTATATGTATGTTCATTTCTGACTTAGTCTTAGAGTTAGCGAGAGCTATCCCGAAGCACCAATTTCCATTTGAGTTAAAGTGCATAGTAAGTAGTACAGTAGGGAGTTAGAATTATCGTCCATCTTACTGTTAAGTTAAATAATGATCAAGCCTGGAAGAAGCAATAGATCTTATAACTCATGGAATGAGACTTCAGTCACCCACTATACTACTATGCCCAATTAGGTTATAATTTGCCTAATTGGGGTATTAAGGTAGAAGTGTCTGATTTTATAACTCGTGTGTGTGAAAGCATTAGTAAAGCTCTCAGAAGAGCTTACCACAAATCCTAAATGAGTTACTGCAAGTCAATACTAGACTCCCAAGTGTTGACTTAGTCCCTTGCTCTATTATTTCCCGTGTAAGAAAAAGCCTCCTCTCTTAGTCCCTCTTTAAAACCACTATACTCTTATCCAAAACTTCCCTCACCATACCTTGAACTTTTTTTATTAACACCCTCTTCCCATAAAAAAATCCCCCATTTTCTCCCTACAACCTTCCATTCTTCAAAACCCATATCGACTCCGCACATGTTGTCTATGTATTCGTTGATCCATACCGCAACATTGTGCACAGATAAGAACTCATCCCCCACAAAATTCAAAATCTTGCAAATTAATAGATTCTCTTCCTCATCAACCAACCAACGACTTGATGTTAATTGTAGTGTCTCTACCAAATTTACTTGGCCCAGAGGCTAAGATCGTATTATCTCAGGCCTCTCGCAGAATCCTTACTTCGTAAGTGAGGTACAGTTCTATTGAAGAAGAGGCCGGCTTAGGAGGTTGAGGGTCCTCCGGTTTTTCATAACGTAGGAGTTCAAAAAGTAGAGTGAATGTAGAAAAGTTAATCTACGCTAGTGGTGAAGTGAGAGAGCAGAAAAAAGTGTTGCA